CGCGGCCCGCCCCCGGGCCGGACGGCCGAGGCCTAACCACCTCCCGGGCTGCGGGGCCTACAGAAGGAAGGAGCCCGCGCTAAGGAGCGGCACCCGGGCCGCCGCCTCGGCTCCTCAGCGCGGCGGCGGCGCCCGCAGCCCCGGCTCGGGCTCTCCGGCTCACGTGCTGCCGGAAAGACGGTTTCACTCTCTTACCCTCTGCAAAATCCTCCTAAACATGGTTTAAACACCACCCGGGCCGCCGCAGTGACTCTCCGGACCCTACGCGGGACCACTCACTACTCCGGGGAGCGCGAGCGGGAGAGACGGAGTCGGGAAGGGACGGGGGAGGAGGTCGGGGCTAGACGGTGGCGGGAGCCGCTCGGGCGGCCCCGACTTCCCCACAGGCGGTGAGAGGCAGCGCGCGCCAGCGAGCGACGAGGTAGCCTGCGAGCGCCCGCCCGCCGGCCGGGCCGCCCCCGTAACTGACAGCTGGGCGGACCCGCCCGCCGCCGCCACGCCCTCCCGGTCTGTCCATCCGCGAGGGGCGGGGCCTCAAGGGGCCTGGCCCGGAACTGCGACCAATCGGAAGCGGCGGCGGCGTGGGCGGCTGCGTGACGGACAGGCGGCAGGACGCCGCTCCTTCCGGCGGGCAAGGGGACGCCGCGGCGGCCGAGCGCACGCCCGCGCTCCGTCAGAGGCCGTGCCCGCGCGCCGGCCGCGAGCCCGCCGGGGAGGCGGGTGGGGAGACCAGGTCCAGGCCTGGGGATGTCCCTGACCTCGGCGGGAGGAGGGGTTCGGGAGGTGGGTACCTGAGGCAGCAGCTCAGGCTGCTTTGTAAAATTTGTCACCATGACCCTGGTCTTGACCTAGCCTGGACAGGATCCTCATTTCTGCTGGGAGCGCTTAGACCCTGGGTGAAAGCAAAGGATAGAATCGCAGCCACGATTAACCTGTCTGTTGGGCTTCCCTCCTCTTTGTTCAACCGTCGGTTTCTTTGCTCCCTTGCTTCTAATTTCAGCCAAAGAGAAAGTAAAGAATCAGAAGAAAGAATAGGGAAGAAACTGGAATTTGAGTTGGTAAGAGAAGTTTAGGGTTGTCCTTTTTGGACCATAGCATCAATATTTAATTGACTGATGTCGCTAACATGTTACACTTTCTCTTTCTAAAGCCCTTGCGTGGCCCATTCCCCTAAGGAATATTAAGTCCTTTCTGATAATAGTCATAAAAAGTGAATCAACATTAATGCGTCTGTTTCATGAAAAAAAAAATAATAATAATAATAATAAGGTCACAGATAAACAGGACATGGACTTCAAATTGACTTCCAGGCACCACGTCATTATTTAAACTCAAAAATCACAGCTCCGGGGGCGCCTGGGTGGCTCAGTCAGTTAAGCGTGGGACTCTGGATCTCCGGCTTAGGTCTGTGATCTCCGGGTGGTGTGAGCTACTCTCCCTCTCTCTAAAATAAATAAATCTTAAAAAAAAAAAAGTCACAGCTGGGAAGTCCCACCATTCTGCTAGCATTCACAGGTTTTGAGGTTCAGGCGTTTTACCCTGGGAGGAAGAGAGAAAACTTTAATATTGTTTAAATAAGGAAAGAAACGGAATAATGCAATTGACCTTGCTGGGAGAGCTACCCAAGCATGAATGGAGTGCTTTCTTCCAGATCGTTTGAAAAGGTGCAGCAAATATTTTCAAATGAGTTAATGTAAAATGTTTCATAAAGTATTATATGGTGTAATATGTTTCTATTCTAGACATGTTCTGTTTTTTGTGTGTGTGTCCATAGTGCAGTAAAATAGTAGTACCTACAACTAATACATTATTAATCACTATTGATAACGATGCATTTAAATATTTCCAGACAAACATAGCAAAGCACACACTTTCCATCTTTCCAGACACAGGTGCTTTATTTTCAGACAACATGGGAAATACTTTGACCAACGTAGGGTGATAAAACTATGTGGCATAATAAATATAATATTGGTCTCTGTACCAAGGTCCTGACACAGAGTTCCTAAGACCCTTGTAATTTCCTGACTGAAAGGGTGCTAGGAGCATCTTTTGTTCTAATATTTAATCTTTGACCCTGATTCCTGACGCCAAAGCTTCTAAGACCCTTGGAACAGCCACAGGGATAAGAGTGTCTGTATGCTAATGAGGCGACTGGTTGGGGGTCACTAGATAGTTTTAGAATGGAGTCTAATCTCCAGAAAGATCATGGCATGATTAGAAAGTTGCAATTTTCAGGCTGACCATCCCCTCACCTCCAGGAGGGAAGAAAGGCTGGAACAGTTAATCACTAATGGTCACTGATTTCATCAATCCTGGCTATGTAATAGAACCTCCATAAAAAACCTAAACTATGAGATTTGGAGAGCTTCCAGGTCAGTGAACACATCAAGATACTAGAAGGATGATGTGCCAGAAGAGAACAGGGAAGATCCTGTTCCCCTTCCCCCATATCTTGCCCTATGCATCCCTTCCACTTGGCTGCTCCTGAGTTGCATCTTTTATAACAAACCAGTCATGGTAAGTAAAGTGTTTCCCTAAGTTCTGTGAGCTGTTACAGCGAATTATCAAACCTGAGGAGGGTGTTGTGGGAACTATAGCCAGTAGGTCCAAAGCAAAGGTGACAACCTGGAACTTGTGACTGGTGTCTGAAGTTGGGGGGTGGGGGGCAGTCCTGTAGGACTGAGCCCTGAACTTGGAGGGTCTACACTAACTCCAGGTAGTTAGTATCAGAATTGAATTTAATTGTAGGACACCCAATTGGAGTCCAGAGAATTGGCAAATCACTCGGTATAGAATAAAACCCCACACATTAGGTGTTAGAAATGTTATACGTAGGGGCACCTGCCAGCTCAGTCAGTAAAGCAGGTGACTCTTCATCTTGGGGTTGTGGGTTGAGACCCACGTTGGATGTAGAGATTACTTAAAAATGAAAAAAAAATCCTAAAAAAAGGTGTGTTGTAAATAGAGAAAGGAAACAGGTTTTCTTTTTTCCCATTTAAAGTGATATTTGTTTCTTTTTTTTATTATTCAAAAGTTAATTTAGTTTAAAGCTGCTTATTAATGTCACATGCTAAAGCCTTCTACATTGGAGTTCTCCTGTGGAATTTTTTGCCTAATCATGTAAGACACTCTCAATCTGTTCAGCTAGATGGGTTATTCAAAGGCTTGCATGCTCCCCTGCAGCTTATGATATGACTGGGATAAGACCCTAGAGAGCTTAATTGCTCAAAAGTAAATAAGCAATGGGTGAGACATAATAATGTAGCAGCTCCCACACATAACTGCTCTGCTTACCCTGCCTGGCCACTAATCCCTGTCTATTCAGCTCTCTTACATTCATATTCCATTAATTCTTTTACTCCATCAAGATCTCCAGCCCATTGGCTCCTCTCACCTTCTTACTGTCAACCATTTCTAGATCCTCATTTCCATCAAAATCTAACTTAAAGTCCATGATCCAACTTTATAGCTCCCCATCTTATGAATATGCTTAACTTCCTCCCCTTTCTCTTCTTTGTCCATTGTTTTCATGTGGCAGAACCCGAAGCACCCACTGCGTGCCACACCGGAGCAGGGGAAGGGCGCTAGAGGCCCACATGGGCAGCGGGGGCTACCGCGCTCGCCTCACCCTAATACCGCAGCGCTCAGAGAGGCACTCCACACTGTCTGCAGCAACCCTGTTTCCCTTGCCTGGTCTGCTTTCTCTTCTCTGCTCTTTCTTTGTCCAAAATGGCTTTTACATCTGGGGTGCTTTCACTGTCTTGCCTTGCCTTTTCTTCTTAGGCCACTCCAATCAAGCAATCAAGCCTCCTTCTCAAAAAAAAAAAGCCTCCTCACCTACTCCAATGAGACTGCTCAGGTTAATGTTAATGACCCACTTGTTGCCTAATCCACGAACAACTTTATTGCTTTGACTTTATTTGACTCTTGTTTACATTGAGAACAGTTGACCATTCTCTCCTCAAATTATTTTATTCTCTTGGCTTCCTTGACAATACACTTTCTGGCTTTTCTCCTCAATGATCATTCCTTCTCAGACCCCTTTGACTTTTCTACTGCATAACTTAATGTTAGAGTGCCCCTGCTTTGTTCTAGGGTCCCTCTTTTTATCTGTCCCACACAGCCTAGAGGTGATCTCAACCAGTCTCCTGGCTTTAAATCTCAACTGTCTGCCCAAGACCCCCAAGCCTGTATCATCTGCATTGACCACTCCCCAGATTTCCAGACCTGCACAACAAACCGTCTACATAGTTCTCCTTGGAGATCTAATCAGCATCTCTAACTTAACATGGCCCAAACAAAGCTGTTTCATTTTTATTTTCAAAATTGCTTCTCTGCCAGTTTTCCTGTCTCAGTATATACTACCACCAGGAACTTAGTTGGATTAAACCAAAAATCTTGGAGTTATCTTTGATTTCTCTCTTTATCTTATCACTTCCCCTTCTTCCAGCCAATCCACCAGAAAATCCTGATAGGTCTTCCTCCAAAGCATATCCTAAATCTGCCACTTCTTTCCATTATCCCCCTGGTCCATAGTACCTTCATCTCCTGTCCAGACCACCATTAAGAGTTTCCCGGTTGGTCTCCCTATTTCTACTTTGGCTTCCCTATAATCCATAAACTATACAGCAGCAAAGAACAACTTTTAAAAATGTAAATCAAATAATATCACTGCCCTCCTTAATTGAAGCTTCCCATCACAATCACAATAAAATCCAAATACTTTATCCTGGCTCACACACCTTGTTGATCTGGCCCTGCCCACTTCTCTGCTTTCCATTTATAACACTCTCCCGTTGGTTTACTATGTCTCAGCCTCAATGAACTTTTATTCCTCAGTTGCACTAAGGTCATTCCTGCCTTTGTGCCAACTAGTTCCTATTTAGGAAATATTGTTCCCTTAAGGAGTCGATCCCATTTACAATTGCACCCAAAACCATAAAATACCTAGGAATAAACCCAACCAAAGAGGCAAAGGATCTGTACTCAAAAAACTACAGACTACTCATGAAAGAAATTGAGGAAGACACAAAGAAATGGAAAAACATTCCACGCTCATGGATTGGAAGAAAAAATATTGTGAAAATGTCTATGCTACCTAGAGCAATCCACACATTTAATGCAATTCCTATCAAAATACCATCAACTTTTGGGGCGCCTGGGTGGCTCAGTTGGTTAAGCGACTGCCTTCGGCTCAGGTCATGATCCCAGGGTCCTGGGATCGAGTCCCACATCGGGCTTCCGGCTCAGCAGGGAGCCTGCTTCTCCCTCTGACCCTCTCCCCTCTCATGCTGTTTCTCTCTCTCTCTTTTTCTCTCAAATAAATGAATAAATAAAATATTTTTAAAAAATTACCATCAACTTTTTTCAAAGAAATGGAAGAAATCATCCTAAAATTTGTACGGAACCAGAAAAGACTCCAAATAGCCACAGGAATG